TCATGTAACCTGTAAATTAATGTGCCATCCAAATACTTCAGAAGGTTTTTTTGTACCCCATTTCTCTCTCTGCTTACTTGAGTTGGCCTTGATCGTTTCAGCCAATGATCTGAATCATGCTAAGCAAGCACTGAACAGCCTGTCATGAATCCAGTCAAGAATTTGCCTTTCCTGATCCCTGCTGGAAATGGTAAGGACACCATTACTGATCAATGACTGTAATCATTATCATTTACTCACCCTTGTGTCATTCCAAACATGTATGTTTTCTTTCTTTTGTAGAATATGAAAGTAAATCGTTTGAAGAATGTCCATGCTGCTCTGTTCCATACAATGAAAGTGTATGGGGACCAGGAACTGTCAAGCTCTAAAAAGAAAATCAACCATAATAAAAATGCACTAAATATATACTAATTTTGTGTGAGGAACAGACTGAAATCACTAAGAGTTTCATGCCTTGAAAATCTTTCTTGCTCATGGTCACCATTCACTTTCATTGTATGGAAAAGAGCAGCTTGGATCCTGCTATAAATAACTGCTTTAGTGTTTGACAGAAGAAAGGAAGTCATATGGGTTTCAAAACCCATGAGTGAATACATGATGATAGAATTTTCATTTTTGGGTGGACTATTCCTTTATGATTATCCCTTCACTGAGGATAATAAATGCTGCTAAAAGTTCTGCCAAAATTAAAGTATTATGAATATAACAAAAATTTACTTCCAAACAGTACTGATTTAACTGAGAACAGACTACATGGCCTTTGCCACGGAAAACAGTAATTAAGCCACATCAACCCATGATGGATGGGTGTCATATGGCCGGTTAACTAATATGACAGAATGATGAATGATGATGTGAAATGTTTTAGAGATAATCAGGGCTTGTATTCATGCCAAGTTTTGCACATGTGCAGTGTTTCAGTGCATTCAGTGACATTTGTAAAGAGATCACAGGTTCTATTTAGTAATCGGAATCAGAAAAATACAAATTTTTGCTTGATTTCAACAAGACAAATCCAGATGTGAGCACCCCACACCCTAAAAATAACCCCAAAGACATCAAATCCCAGAAAGGTGATGCATGCTCTGCCTTTTCCAATCATGTTCTGCATATTTTCCTGTTTTGACAAAGAACAGTGGTCCTTCAGCCAAATGCAGTTATATCATCCCGTCAGACGAGCGTGTGTAAAAATCTGCTTTCAATTAATACACAATGATTTATTCTTTAAGAGCTCTGCATGAGAACAGTGAGGGGGATTAGAAAAATAAATCACTGCTCAAAGTTTGAGTTATTGCTGTTTGATGTATTTTGTTGGCATTGATCAACAAAGCAAGACTCTCTCATGCCTGCGAGCTCTGCCCGGACTTAAAAGGCTTCTTCAGAGATGCAGATTCTCCGTATTAATTGTTTTACACTTAATGAACTTTTATGAGGGTCTGTAAAAATTAAAGGAACTTAAAAAATCTTGAGTTCAAGTACTTGCTTAATAGGTTATTTCAACCACAAGCAGGGTCGATGTACAAAAGGGAAGCGGGAGGAGTCACATGGGTAAATATGTAGCTAATTAAAATGTGAATATTCAGTAATGAGTGGATAGTGTTTGTCACATGTGTGAGTTAGGAATGACAGGATAGAAAAATCTTGTGGGCTGAACCTACAAAAGCCCTTCTGATTTTGTCAGATATGTATTTTTACATGAGCAGAAAAGACAGTGGAGCAAAATATGAAGCACTCAAACAATATTTAATGGCTCTGCAGAGTGCCCAAGGCCAGTTTGAATTTAATAATGTGGGTTCACTTGATATATTTTGAAAAGGCCTATTGATTTATTCCACCTGGGCTGAAAAATGCATTCCACTTCTCAGCGGCTATGCAAGAGCAATCTAATTGAAATCGTACGGTGGCCAAAAGTGTTAAATCGCATGGATGGACAGAACAAGATAGGTGGAAGAGAAGAGCTTAAAGGGGTTATATGATGTGATTTTTTATTTTTCCTTTCTCTTTGGAGTGTTACAAGCTCTTGGTGATGACAGGATAGAAAAATCTTGTGGGCTGAACCTACAAAAGCCCTTCTGATTTTGTCAGATATGTATTTTTACATGAGCAGAAAAGACAGTGGAGCAAAATATGAAGCACTCAAACAATATTTAATGGCTCTGCAGAGTGCCCAAGGCCAGTTTGAATTTAATAATGTGGGTTCACTTGATATATTTTGAAAAGGCCTATTGATTTATTCCACCTGGGCTGAAAAATGCATTCCACTTCTCAGCGGCTATGCAAGAGCAATCTAATTGAAATCGTATGGTGGCCAAAAGTGTTAAATCGCATGGATGGACAGAACAAGATAGGTGGAAGAGAAGAGCTTAAAGGGGTCATATGATGTGATTTTTTATTTTTCCTTTCTCTTTGGAGTGTTACAAGCTCTTGGTGCATAAAGAAGATCTGTAAAGTTGCAAAGACTAAAGTCTCAAATCCAAAGA